ATTCATTAATCTTTTTTCTACATTCATTACCAAACAAGCCATGGACAACTTCATACGTTCTTTATTATTATTAATAGCTTTATTTCTTAACCTGTTCATTACCATAACTATTGCATATACCCCTGCCAGTCGTTATTATCAAGGCAGCGTCATTATTGAAAATAAAATATATTTCTTAGGTGGTATAGACATTTCAGGCAAGGGCACTAGTGATCTATTCTATTTAGATGTTTCGTTTCCATTCAACTCTGCTAATCCAAAATGGACTGATCTTACGAGTGTTGCTCCTATTCCTGTCACTAGTGCATTCGCACCTTCTTGTGTTGGTGGGAGTAACAATTCCACTATTTTCTTATTTGAACATCGTAGAACAAATAATGCTAATTCAACTTCCTTAGTTACTTTTACTTTTGATACATCATCTCAAAAATGGACTGCTCCAACAATGTCTGGTGTTATACCACCTCCTAGACAGGATATGAGAGCGGTTGTTGATAAAACCGGTAAAATTTATATTACTGGTGGATTTGAACCATATACAACCTTTAAATCATATAATAACACTTACATATTGGACTCTTTGAGCTTATCTTGGACTAATGGTGTTAATGCTTTGCTGGTTCGGTCTGCTTATACTGCTACTCTTTTACCGAGTGGTGATATCGTATATATAGGAGGAGTAAATGACGATCCAAGTCCAGAAATTAATATGAACTCAGTAATTAAGCCTAATAATTGTGTTGAACTCCTTTATTTTAATCGTATTTTAATGTTAACTTTCATTATTTCTTATTATTTCTTATTAGCTTTCAATTTATAGTACAAATACTGGATCTTGGACTTCAATGGTGAGTATATTACTTTAATCTTTGAAATAGCTAATCTAAGCTAAATTGAGATTAAATTTTATAACTTTATAATATTGGTCTTTAGATGAATTCATTAATATAATATTTTTATTATGAATGGGTTATTAGATTGCAACTGGCGACGTAATTGCAGTCCGTCAATCTCACACAGCCGTACTAAGTATGCATTAAAGATACTAAACTACTGTACCGTTCCGAAATTAAGCATCCATGGCACGCACTATGCAAATTTCGTATTATGATAATTTTGGCCAGCACTACATGCAAAATGGTTTAATCTCGGAATGGTACGTTATTTATGGTTTTTTTTTTATTAATAGCTCATAAACTTTACTATTTGTTTTTAGATAAGGATGGTTCTATTATTATTTATGGAGGTGCTTCTAATAATTACACTGCAGCCCCAAATCCGTCTTTGGCTGTATTGGATACGAATTATAAACCTTATAGGTGGTCTGCAAAACAATTCACTAGTTCATTTGCTCCACCTCCTCTTGCCTATCATTCTGCTCATATTGTTGGCGACTACATGATCATAGCATTTGGTATTATATTTACTGATTAAACGTTCATTTCGTTCATTTGCTTAAAACTTATTAAATTTAATTTCTAGGTGTCAG